CTGTTCTAGTAATTTCCGCTCCCATTCGCACTCACTACTCTGTCTGTGTTTAAATCTAAGGAATGAACACGTACTTGCTCTTTCTCGATATTTCCAAGTTCAATCCCTAGTGAACTTATATTTCAGTAAAGCATGGATACAGAGCGCACCAAGACGGTATGGCGATAATTTAAGAAAACTGGAACGCTAGTTACAAAGATCTGGAATGTAAAGGAAGCTGACAACAGCCAAAATCAGCAAAGAACTGACAGCTCATCAGCAGTCAAAATTTTATGCACTTCTAAGCGAGGAAGAGTTAGACTTCTGAAAACTCAAGTTGGCGTTCGAACCCAGTAAGAAGTGCGCTTCTTCACCGCTGCAGCGATATCAACGATAAACTCACCAAGTTCATGCCGTCTTTTTTTGGTGTTACAACGCCAATATCCATTGCTAGGTAGGAAGCAACCAGCTCCTTTCGAGGCAGACCTTCGGTGACGAAAATCAGCGGTTTCCAGTCAGGCCTGGTTGGACAAATGAACAGCTTGTTGATACCTTCCGCAAGAAGCAAGCATTCGTCTTGATACACGCGATATGTCTCCACAGCGCGCCTGTTTGTCACAGCCACCTGAATTCCAATTTTTTTGCTTTTACGTTTTTGATGAAAAAGATGAGAACACAGCCTCTCTCGGCAATGCAGACAGTAAACACACGTTTGTTATATCATCATAAATGCTGAAATATAGGAAAGAATCAGATGGCCTAGAAAACTACATTTATGCACGCAGATTTATTGAAATCAGTAATGTTAGACCTGGTAGAGTACATCCTTCCCAATTCGATCCGCATATCTTTCTAAATATTTCTTGTAGGCCAACAATTTCTCCTTGATTCCTTTGGTATAATCAAATCTTTCCACGGAAAAAAACAATTTGCTGTCGGAAGGAGCATCCGGTCCAAGTATCTGCAAAATTCAGAGGAATTTCACGGCGATCTCACTGAAACCGAATGTTTTCAAAATGGCATTTTCATCAGTAAAACCGCAAACCAAGGTGAAAAAACTACACACTCGTTGGCGTATTTCTTGTGCCTTTCGACGTGTTTCGGGTAAACGAACGAATTTCAGAAAGTCTTCGTTCTTGATTGAAACTGGGAAAACTCCCAAAGAACATGTCCAGCCCTCGTATGTTACGCAGTGGATGTCGTTTGTGCTTTCGTAGTTGATTTCTGAGGATGGCAAATGTATTCGGCATAATTCAATTAGCTTTTCACGGTCGCGGTGTGTTTGAAATCCCACCTGCAACACTTCCATTTT